AAAAAAAAAAAAAAAATCGAACTAGGGGTGGGGGATTTTGCTGGATAGGAGAAAAATTGTGTTTGTGTTTGGTTTTGTCGTGAAAATGTTTTTTAAAGGCAAATTGGGCCCTCCCCGAAACGGGATCCTGGTTTCGCCACTGCTTACATTTGAGGACTTTGTACATATACGTGATTGAAGACTCATTCAAGGGTGTTGCACTTATTGAATCATCACTCTATACTTTCATTGAGTGTTTGTGAAATTTTTAGTTTCTTTTTCCATTGATTCAACGTTGTGTTCTTACATCGCTAAAAACTGTTTTGTTCTTTATTTACGAAAATTTTGTGTGTTTAAGGATTAAGTACTTTTATAGTTATGAGGGATCCATAGTTTTTTCAATGTCCACGCTTGGTGCTAGGAATTAGTTAAATATAAAATCGAGTATGGTGTTGGTTAGACATAGAGAAAGTCCGAGTTTTGTAAATTCAAAGCGTACTGTGTGCGTGCAAGCTAGTCTATTAATGAAAGTGCTCTGAAAGCTAGTTGTACACTCTTGGCAGATAATTTTTATTTAGATATTGTTTATATTTTTACATTTTGTGTTTAAACACACATTTTTAGTTATACCTACTCTATTGAAAAGCACTGGATTTATTTTATTACATGTGTCATATGAATTGAATTAAGAAAGCGGGGCCCTAAAATTGTATACTCGATATATTGAGTGATGTGCAGTGGTTGTCATTCTCAATTACCAATGCAATTGGGGCTCGCAATTCGCAATTGAGTTTTAAATTGCGAATAACGTTACTATTTGCTATGTACTGCCCTTGACGGGAAGTAAACAATTACGTAATGCTATAGGTACGTAATGTTGTACATAGAGGTGTACATAACATTCACATCGAGTGGGACCCACTAAAATTAAAAAATCAAGTGGACCCCACTCCATGTGAGTGCTATGTACATCTTTATGTACATTTATTATGTACATGTAACATTTTTCTTACATTTATTCCAAACATCTTCTCTCTTCATTTGAAGAGCCCTTAGCCATAATTCAGAATCTAACCTCATCTAATTGACTATCAAAAGTTGCTAACATTTTGATCTGTTAATAACTTCTGTATAAATGAGAAACTCCATTTTTCAGCGACAGGACTGCTCAATTGGGGTCTAGATTTGACTTGAAAATTACAATAGCAGGATGTGTGTTTATGATGATCCGACCGTTCGGACTAGGGCTGTAAAATTCGTCGAGCGGCTTACGAGCTTCTCGTGAGCACTCGAACAGTTCAATCGAGCAAACGAGTCCAACCTCGAGCATCATTTCAAGATGAGTCGCTAACTTTTTATTTACATAATTACCCTTTATAATTTAGTTATCAAAATTAGATTAAAATATCGAGGCCAAACTCGAGCTCAACTTTTTATTTACGTTATTGAGGCTAAATCTTTAGACGTCAAGTTTAGAAGGACTTTCATAGAAAGACTTCTAGATTTTTTGTGTCTCTCACATGCCACATCATCACAAGTAGAAGTTAAAAATACTCACCGTTAGATAAATATTTTGTTCCAATGTATATATTGTTCTAATGCCTCTACAATTCTACAATAAATAGAAAATGCTCTAAGAATAGGGGATTTAAATGTAAAAAAAAAGTAATAATACTAATAAAATATAAGTGGATTCGTGCTTGTCTTGGGAAATCTCACCTGAATTTGCTAGGATCTCAAAATCCGACCGATATTCAAGTATCACAAGTGGTACCACTTATTCAGAAGTGTGGTCGAGTACACAAACTAGATGATGGTACAAAAAAACGACGATACAAGATGCATACAGCGTTCATTTCCTAACAAACGAGACACCCTTATCGACACTTCCAGCCAGCTCTTTCTTCGCCTTCTCTAATCCAGCTCTGGTTCCATCACAAATGTATTGTTAAATACAAAACAAAACAAAAAAGGCTAAAAGACAAATATTTCATGCAAAATTACAATGCATGAAACGAGGAATGAGAATGTTATGCAGTCCTTTTTGCGAACCTTTCATATTCATTCAGTGGGCCGAGTGGATAAATCTCCTCGACTCCATTACGCCCAAGCCGCACTCTTGAAGCAAAGAATGGAAGTTCAGTTACCTGAAAATGAAAACAAAAAAACATACAGTTTTAACATATAAAGGACCAAAATACACTTTTATTCTCATCTCCGTTCGATACAATTAGGGAACAGCTAGTTTAGTGAAAAACATGCCTGGGAAGACACAAATGCGCATTCAACAACTCCAGCATCTCCCCTCAATCCCCTCAAGCAAGCATCCGCAAATTTTACTGCTGCGTATGCCTGTCATATTTCATTTTCACATTTTTTATTTTTATTCGAAGCTTGTTATTTGACGGCAAAATCCACTATAAAATTGTATGGCAATTGTAGCAGCCTACCATTGAAAGGGTAGCAGAACCAGCCCCTGCTTTGGCCTGCAGCAATAAAAAAAAACACATGTTAAAAAAACATGTAGGGGAAACTTTTGAAGAAACATTTGCTGCAATTAAGGTCATTCAACCAATGAATTAACGACTCTTAAACTTCATTGATTGTCCCGGATCACCCATGAAAAACATCAAAGTCTAGCTAATATTAGCTGTCCGCAGATAGATTATATGATGGTAAAAAAATTACTTTTATCAATCTAACACTCAACAATTTATGTCCTGAGAAACATCCTTTTTTCAATAGGGAGATCAAAAGATTTTACTTAAAAATACAAAGAGCAGAATTCACTACACATTTTTATGTGAAAGTTCTCGTTTCGCTTTTCCTATAGAGAATTATATTTGATTTCTCAAGCAACCAGGTCCCAACTTCCAATACGTATCAATGTTCCACAAGGAAACACGTCAGTTTTATTTTCTCTCTTTCTGAACAAAGTAAAAATATCACAAACTACAACATTTGGGCCACTCGGTCTCCTTCTATCTTTTTAATTACAAATTTCCCATAGAAGTACTCCCTTCAGATTTTACATTTTCCTAGAAAATGGCCCCTTCTCAGGAAGTAGTTTTTAAAATTTAAAAATATGTTAAATTGGTATATGGGATAAGAACAACCAACCTCAGTATTCTCGGTTTGTGCATGACTTTTACCAAATTGAGAAGGAACCATTTTTTTTTTTCATGTTTTCATGTTGCAAGTAAAATTCTCACAAAAATCGGAACAAGATGAAAGGGTATAAAAAACTGTTCCTTCTCCACTCACAAACATTTTATTCATCTCATTTTTTTCAGTTTATACAGAAATAATTTGTTCTTTCTTGCACAGATTCATTTTTCCAACTCGAAACATGCATTAGGCACATGTAATCATGGTAATAAGCCGTAGATAGCTGTTAATCAACAACACGTAAACTTTCTCCATAACACAAAAAATTAAACTGTTAATCACAAACAAAAGTAATATTGATTTCATCCCGTACTCAGACCTACCTCAACCACTTCAGTCCCGCCATTCTGAATGCGGGATGTCAGGTACTCGGTCTCTTCTCGAGTGAAAGAGCACGCAGGTTTAACCTATTTAAAACGTAACTAATGATTACATGTAATGACTGCAAATGTAATTATAAAATCAATTTCATCATCTCAACCTGGGAGAGTAATGGCAAAATCGTCACACCGGCGTGCCCCCCTACTACTGGAACATTAACTTCCCGTGGATCCAGGCCCATAACTTCAGCCTTAACATACAAAAATATAGTACAAAATAACAAAATTGGCCAATAAAATACATTTAGGATCAAACTTCAATTTTTATGATCAAACCAAAAAATGATGTCTATAACGGAGCTAAAAGTGTAACCTGAAAAACTTCCACATATGACAAGTGAAATATGTAGGACATGCCAAAACATTGCAAGTGAAAAAGGCTGTTCGTTTACTGTAATTATATTGATAGGAAAAAAAATAAAAAATAAATAATCTAATGAAAACATTTGCTTACCACAAATGTATTAGCTCTGACCACATCAAGCATTGTGACTCCCAAAAGACGCTTTGGATCATAGGTCCCAGCCTTCTTGAAAACTTCCGCTGCAATTGGAACCGTAGAGTTCACAGGATTACTGATCAAGTTGACAATGGCATTAGGGCAACACTTGGCAATTCCTTCACAGAGGGTCTTTACAATTCCAGCGTTAATGTTGAAAAGATCATCCCTAGACATTCCAGGTTTTCTGGGAACTCCAGCAGGGATTATTACAAGGTCCATGCCCGTTAGTGCGTCTTCCAACTGGTTTTGAGCCAAAAACCCACGAACCTGTCAAAAGAATTGAGTTAATTTCTAACAAGCTTACTCATTTATGATGTGCTAATTTGTTTGATAAGATTGCATATATTTCAAGTTATTGAGGTTTATTTACCAAAAATATGCATTTCATTTACAGAATTGATTTGATGAGTTAAACCAAGAAAGTTTTCTTTAAAGGTTATATGTACACTCATGTTCCATGCAGGCCAAAGAAGCGAATGAATCAATTGAAAACATAAAAAAATTCTAAGCTTTACGAATTTCCAGATTACAGTTGATTGAATCACCATTACATTCCTTTGTAAAAGAATATTTATACGCTGTGACTCACTTACTTCGAAAGCTTGAATCATCAACGTGACTACTGTCACACTGGACAACAATTTATCATCAGAAAACAAAGACGAAAGGTGAAAATAAAAGCCAAAGGCATACATTCCCTAGCAATGCATTTTGGCAAAGTAGAACTAATCTCATAACTAGAACAGTAAATTTATCACCACCTTTCACAGCTAACCACCAGCAGCTCAGCAATATATCCCAAAAGGACATTCAATATAAAGACCAAACCCTCTACCAATACTATGTTGCAATCAAATGATCGAAACAGTAGGATTATACAAAAACTGATAACCAAATTGTTCTGTAGAAATTACGAAAAGTGAAGATATATATATACAGTGGCCTCGAAAGGGATCGGAAGACGATAAATTACCACGGCACCGGTGTCCATATGGCTGATATCGGCAGTCACACCGGGCGTGTTGACCACATCATACAGATGAAGCACGGACACCAACGGGTTCATCTTCATCAGCATCGCCAGAGGCTGGCCTATGCCGCCAGCAGCCCCCAATATTGCCACTTTGAAACCCGGAGACCCTCCTTTGGCTCGGCAATCCTCACGCCATATGCTCGAATTCTCGCCTACCTTTCAACCAAAATTCACACATACGTTATACAGATCAACCCACTGACAACAACACATGAACCCACTCAATTTCCAGATGAAATTCAACTGCAGAGTAGTAAAGCTCAATCACTTTACTCCACATGAAACCCACTTAATTGAACGTTTAAATTAGGTAAAAAAATATGAATGTCACCTGGAAATGATCCGCGGGAGGATTAAGGTGAGCTGAAATTCTTGCAATTCGCTGATGAACATCTGCTGGCTGCTTCATATTTTTCACTCGATGAATTTCTTCTCACAGAGCTCAAAGCAAAACTTGTTAGAATTTAACACGAAGATGATGATCGGATAAAAAGCGGACAGAGAGGAGGAGAAGAAAATGGTAGTTAAATACAGGTGCTCGAACGGCGATTAATTGAGCAAATAAAAAACGAAAGAAATGGCGGAATGACGACAGCGGCTCGTTGGAATGTGTGAATTTGGATTTGATCGTCAACGAGTCCCGTGCACTGCACGGTAAACGATATTCACTAATATTTATAAATGAAAAATTCTTATTAAGTAATACTAGTGCGTACCCCGTGCGATGCACGGAAAAAAGATATTAAATGAGTTATTTCACATCATTTTCTGTTTAAATCCAAAAAGTAATAGAGTTATTATCTATTTTTTACCTCTTTTAATC